GTTTTTATGTGAACTTGTATGAAATTGTTGGCCAACAAACAGCTTTTAATGGTACAGCTGTGTAATCTCTTGGCGCTACCCATATATAAGCGTATAAATGTACAGCATGCATTTACTGCTAGCGTATAACCCGCAATGTTCGTCTGCAAACTCCTTTTGAGAAATAATGTGAATTTATGAATCATGCTAAAGCGCGAACTTCAGGTTTTCGTGTATAAATGCACGTTTTTATAGTTTTCAGTCGCACACGTAACGTTACCGCAAACACAGAAAACCCACACAAATAGTGAATAGATCTGAACAACACAATCTGAATTCTAGATGTCCCGTGGAAGGCTGTAAGTTACAGTCGTGTCGACTATTCTCCAGCCTTTGTGACCACCTAAGATGACACATTCGAGATGGTAAAAAAAAACACACAGAATGTCAAGTTAGTAACGGTAAAAACTATTTTAGAGTGACGTAATCATTTTCAGCACACCTTAGTAGGAAGCATAAATGTGATTTTGAGAAATCTGTGTCGATAATTACGTTACTGCGCTTTCTGCTGCTGTGCCAGGTGTGAATAACGTTACTGATGCAGCTGTCCTGTTGTTGATGGCCCACTTAAAAGAATGATTGCTATAACTGACACTTAGAAAAACTGTGTGGTTTGTGTGTGTGTAGGTCACAACAACTCTGGCAGATGCAAAGACCAGGCTTGACTTCTTCTACTCCAAGGCTGATCATGCTTAGATATATATAATAGTTTGTAACAATGTTTTGTTTGAGTCTTAACTGAATCTGTGAAAATATTAAAATGTTATTGCAAGGATTACAATTGAACAATTAAAAAAATTAAAAGTTACACAGTTGTCATTGCTTATTTTCATAAAATAATGTAATATTTTTTTTTCTTGTATTTCAATACGGTCCTGAAGAAAAGACCATACAATTACTGTATATTTTACAGTAAAAACTAAAAGTACAGTATACATACTGTAAATACATTTACAGCAAGTTAAATTGTACTGTATTAATACAGTACTTTTACTGTAAGTTTAATTTACAGTAAGTTACTGGCGAACTGCTGCCAGTAAGTTACTGTAATTTCTACAGGAATTTTTTAACAGTGTAGGCCTACAAATGCATAGAATGTCCATAGATTTACACGGGAAAAGAGCAAAAAAGCTGGTCTACTAATCTTGAGTTGAGAATGGCAAGAGTTTGAATTGGTTAGTAATGTTTTAGGCAGAGCTTACCTAAGGGTCATTTGTAGCCCTTACGAAAATTACCCATGGGTTTACTACAAATAAATCAGAAAAAAAAAACATGGTTACTATAGTTAAACCATGGTGACCACAAATTGGTTTTCAATACAATGACTATAAAACTTTAATTATTCATGTGTTTATTGTTGGCCAACTCCTGAAAGCATGTACACGGTGTTGTCCTGTGCTATCTGTTACTGTAATACTCCAACACCTGTGCTATCTGTTACTGTAATACTCCGCACTGGTCTGGATGGACATTTCAGGCAATGATTAGCTAAAGCAGTAGATGGCGTCAGAATCACACATCTTACAAGAAGGGCACTGTGCATATAAATTATGTTTGCCCAATGACAAAATATAGCCAATGGTAAATAGATAAGAAGAGGTAAAAATGTCATTTAGCATGACATCTGAAAATGACTAAATACAGACTAAATGCCATGCAGCTTGCAACCTTGGCAGAGCAAAGATGGCTTTCGTTAAAAAAAATAAAAACATTATATATACTACTCTATGACATTAGAGTCATGTATCTTACATAAAATTGTGTTTGCCCAATGCCAGAAGATATCCCGTGGTAAAAGGAAAAAATAAATAAATGATAAAATCTTATATGAAACCGTTATTGGTCAACAACATTTGCTTCCCAATAATGCTTTCAATTCTTAAATTGAATCAATAAATTCAATTATCATGTTAAAAAGCATTATTGCAATTACAATTATTTATTACATTTAAGAAAATCAAATGCTATTACCAATGAAATCAGTATCATCAAAAGCCATCTTTGCTTTGCCGTTGGCACAGAAGTTGCATCTTAATTGACATTTAGTCTGTATTTACACCGGGTGGTACTGAGCAGCAAAGCAGCTTTCAGACAGAAGCAGCAGCAGCGACAAAACAATAACTTTTCCATTAGGGGCGACATTTGCTTTGTTATGATTGTTGTGCAAGGGAGACATCAGGTGGTGAAACTTGTACTCTACTTGTACCCTAACTATCCTGAAATGGTCACAGTTCCTCAACACATATGCACAGTGGCGGTTCTAGACCACAGTAACTGGAAGGGCCAGGCAGGGGCCACTTGTGCTTTTAGGGGCACACTTTCACAATTCATCTCACCAGTTAAACTCTGGGTTAAAATACGGGTCCAAAATGACGTTAAAAATGTTTATGCTTCACTTACATAACCTTCCTTATATGGTATCAGCCCATATATGGGTTCATTTGAAAGCTTGGAGTGTCTTCTTTACAAAGAATACCATTCCTTTTGGTTTTTATATTCATAAAGCAGTAAAATTAAGCTTAGAAATGTATTCGTCCCACACACGAATTTCCGCCTAACCATTGCGAATAATTTTTACGAAGAATGTGTATTATATATATTTTTCACAAAAAAGTCAAGTCATATATCACAAGAAAGCTCTCATTCTCAGGAATTTGACGATGTAGATTATTTCATTGTGTGACAATCACAGATCGAATTATCTTCGATAGAACCGCGATGTAAAATTTGGTCACCTCTGAGCGAATTTACATTTATACTCTGTGCAGGGTAAACATTTGAATTTGAGTATGTTAAATTTAGGCGAAAATACCAAAAAACGCGCCGAGCTTAAGTGGTTTTAACCTTCTTTGCCTTCTTTGGAGAATATCCTCTGAACGTAAACAACGTGTGCTATTCTGTGTCAGCTGCGTCACGCGGATACATTTTCTACTTTGTTTACGCTTTGATTTGAACGAAAACAACGTATCCGCGTGACGCAGCTGACACAGAATAGCATACGCTGTTTACGTTCAGAGGATACTCTCCAAAATGGCACCAGGGTGACGCGGAGGAGACAAATTGTTGAATAAAGTCGTTATTTTTGTTTTCTTTGCGTAGAAAAAGTAATCTCGTAGCTTCGTAAAATTACGGTGGATTATTTTACCGATCTCCTTGCTACATTTCTGGACCTTGACCATGGTAATTATTGCTGTCTATGGGAGGGTCAGAGAGCTCTCAGAATTCATCAAAACTATCTTAATTTGTGTTCTGAAGATGTACGGAGGTCTTACTGTTTTAGAACGACATGAGGGTGAGTAATTAATGACATAATTTTCATTTTTGGGTGAACTATCCATTTCAAGTCAAAAGTTTCCAGAACATATAATACTCAAGTAAAGTACAGATACTCAAAAAGTGTACTTAAGTACAATACTCAAGTAAATGTACTTGGACGATTGGCAAAGTAACCTAAGTGTAATCTATACTTTTTAGTTAAGTACCAAAGTGTCATGCCATAAAATATTTTAATACAACTGACATTGTATTTAATGTGAATTTAATAAAAAACATTGCAAGTCACTACTTTAATTGTACAGAAAGAGAGCGAAGAACATTTCACTGACTTCAGTTAGCCAGAGTTTAAGGACTCTCAAAAACTCCCATTAAAATCTCTGAAGCTGTTTACACTTTGAAATTAATGTCTTATTTACATCGTACGCACATCTGCACTTTGTTGTTTATGATGAGAGAATTCACCAAAGAGCAGAATTCAGCCAGCAAGCGCACACACTGAACCAAACACAGACGTTTCAGCGATGACTCATCTGAATGCCTCTGATTGGTCATTGCATTCATAAGCTCAACAGAATCATGTATGATTGGTTTTAATGCACAGCGCTGTAAAAACATGTCTGTCTCTGCCATGGCTGCCTTCGGAGGACACATTTCAAGGTAGGTATGCATAAAGGCACGTTCAAATCTAGTGTTAGATTCAATTCCTGCCTCCTAAAATACCTTCATCTGGCCGAGTTTTGAAGGCAGCATAGATGTATCCTTCGCTGCCTTTGATATCCCACAATCCTGTGCGTTCGTTCCATGATGGTTGAGCAGACTTTTTACTTGTTTATTGTAAAAAAGTTACAGACGTTTGACTTGTTTAAAATGTCCTACATTTCAACTTAATTTTATGATATCAGTTTTGTATATATATAAATATCAGTTTTAAAATCATACACTGACTTAAAATAAGGTGAACAGTTTCAGTTTCTTTGCCACACTCCCTCCAAACGTCTGTTTCAGGGAGTATGGAGTATGGCATGAAATTCTGTGAACAAGTCAGATTACTTTTAAAGTCGCAACAAATGCATGTGTGCAGCTAAACATTGTAATTACGATAGTGGTTCCACAATGCACAGTATGAATATATTTGCATTATATAGCAAGTGTCATTTAATTAAAATAAATATAGCACACACTTTTCAAGCAAAAGATTTTGAAAAATTATGTTTGCAACAACAGATGTATTGTTCGAAATTAAGACAAAACGTGTTTGCACAGTTTCCTTTTTTTTTGACGTTCATGGATCTTCAAATTGAATTAATGCAGTTCATCCACTTAAAATAGAAAATGCAAAAAAAATGGTTCTGAAAAGGGAAGTCAGTTCTGAGAAAAACTCTAAGCATCATTTGTTTGCAGATGCCGCTCTTATGTTTCTTGTAATCTAATGACATTCACATTGTGTGTGTGTGTGTGTGTGTGTTTGTGTGTGTTTGTGTGTGTGTGTTTGTGTGTTTGTGTGTGTGTGTGTGTGTTTAAAGAAGTGTCCAAATACGCTTCGGGGCCACTTTATGTTTTGATACATATGGTACATAGATATGTACTATTATAAATAGCAGATAATTGCATTGAATTGATTCTATCTAACTTATGTCTCCACCATGGTGTATTTAGTATGAGATATAAATCAACAAACAGTCTTCTGTGTTTTATTGCTTTACTGATCATGGTATTTCGCCACAGCCACAGCCACAGCCAAGCTTTTTCAGACGGTTCCCTCTCAGTACAGGTTGTTGAGCACGTGGCTAGCGATGTATTTGACAGCCAGCATGGTCTCCTCACAAGTGGGCTTGATCTGAGACTCAGGCAGCAGGAAACCATAACGACCTTCGTCGCGCAGCTCAAAGGTGTAGGAGTACTTCACGCCCAGGTCATAAGCCCAGTCGTCAGAGCCACCAGCAGCAAGGTCTGCAATGAGAAGGGTCACGAAACAAATCAGCAAAAACCTGCTCACTACATGCTAAATGGCTCCTGATAGAAACAATGTTTTCCTGGCCAGGCTGTAGTACAGACCACCACAGGAGAATAGAGCGGGCAGATACTAGGGCCTATACCATTCGATGCTGGAGTTTTTACATTTTTAAAATATACTTTACTATGTTATATATAAGTATAATTATATATAAAATAAAAATCGGCTAAACTGGACTACAGGGGCCGTTGGGACATTAAGCATCATCATATCGAACAGGTAAACTCATCTGCTCATTAGTCCACTTTTACAGCTTTGTTATGTTTACAATCGCATTCTTGAAAACTATTCTAACTCAGACTTTCGGTGAAAATGTTTATTGTTAAAAGGGCTGAAGGAGTTGCCGTAAGCTTAGTGATGGTGAAGTTAAAGTCATGCAACTGTGAAGTATAGTTCATTTATAGCCCTACACTTAGCTTTTTACTTCTGGCGATTGTATCTATAGGCTTCAACTTTCATAAAAGTTTGTGTTCATTTGTAATGATTATCATGCTGAACAAAATGTGTAAGAATCATAAATCTTTATTGGTCATATTTTCTACTATAATCCAAAAGCCAATAATAATAATAATAATACAAATCACTGCAGCATACTTAGAGCATTACATTGTTATCTTAGGAACATGCTAGCTTCTTTTGGAAACAACTGTGAGTCACAACTTGCGAGTTGCTGCCTATAGAGCATTTCAAACCAGTCCATTCCAGTGAGAACACTGAAGATAGAGGCCTAGAAGCAGGGCCGTAGCTGGGGTTTGCGGGGCCCTAGTGCAGGTTGTACCAGTGGGCCCTGTTTGAAATTGTTTAATTTGTATGTTCGTTCTATTTATTTATTTGTGCTATTTATACAATGTTTATGTTTTTTCAAGTTTGTAGGTGTCCAGGTACAGAAACCGAATAATCAAATGTAAAATAGCACTGCATAGTCTTCACTGTAAAAATTAAATATACATTCCAGTGTTTCCCACAAGATTTTGTGAGACTGTGGTGGGTGGACGTCTGTCCCTCTAGAGGGGCCGCCACAGTCTAGTTAACGAATGGGAAACACTGCAGTCAAACCAAAATGTATTCAGACACCTTCAACATTTCTCACATTATCACAGTTTATTTGCTATAGTTTAGAAAATGGTAATAAAATATGACAAGAACTGTCAGAACAAATTCACCTTGATAATGGTGAATAACTTCGATAGAAAGGTATGTAATGGAATACAATCAACCAAAAATTCTGTCAAACTGTTAGTATGACTATTTACACAACTATCAATACTTTGTTGACCAATTACCAAGCAATGCTTAATTTAGTTCAGTATGTGGTGTAAAAAGTTCGCATTAGCAATTAAAGAAAAATCACTTAAGCAAAACATGGTCAGGTCAAAGTGTCTGAATTTTTGGTCCCACATTTTTTTTATCAATGTTACTGGTAGTCCACTGCATGAAGAATTTTGGGGTATAATACGTCACAGTTTACTTTATTTTGCTAAACTCACTTACATAAATTAACTATAGTGTCCTGCACCCATTAAAAAATATCAAAAATGATATCTGGTTTGTGAATAATTTTTGGTTTGACTGTGGATTAATTCTTGTTAAAACTAAAAAGGAATTCAGTCAAGAGCAGTGAGTGATTTTCTTTCTTTCATTTTCTTGGATTAACATTAAGGACACCTACAGCAGCTAGTAGCTAAATTAGGCACGGTCACTTTAAGAGACAATGCATTATAATGATACACATCGGATTTCTTTCTCCACTGTTTCACTTTCACTTAAGACATAACTGACAGTTTTTTCGAGGATACTCTCCAAGATGGGTATTTTGACATAATTTTGTATGTAATTATCGGTACAAGAGCAAGAAGAGGCAAATTCGTTGTTCAACCGCTTTGAGACGTGTCTTTCTGCGTGCGCCCTGTGCGCACAGAACGCCGCGCGCGGGTGCTGAATTGGGCTCTTTCACATCTTTTTCTGTTTGCATGCTTAAACTGCGATTTGTATTTGTTCGTTCAGGTGCAGGAGGACGCGAAGGAGAGCTCGGTTCAGTGTTGCTGTCTGTGAACACGGCACCGAACATGCCGCGCGAGTACAGTTGAGTTTTCCCGCGTCTTGTGTTTGAATGCTTTAAACTCTTTTGAATGTTTAAATGGGCAAGGCTTAAAAACACGTGCAAATGATATGCTTTTGTGGCGATGCGCAGCAGTGGCCCATCAACTGTCCTGAGCGTCTTTTTTTTTTAGGCTGGTCTCAGCCAGTTGGTTGAGATCGCCGGGGGCCCCCCCTCAGCCGTGGGCCCCTGTAATCATCACCACCTTTCACCCCACTAGCGACAGCCCTGCCTAGAAGGATGTAGGCAGTTCACTACATGTAGGTTTTGGACCAGAGCTTATCTTGGATTCTTTATACTCACAGATGGTTGTAGCACCAGGGCCGCTAGTGTATCTGGTTCCGTACAGGGAGCTCAGAGCTGCAATAGCTCCCTGAGACACACTCAGCTACCAAAAAAGACAAGATACATGACTCATGTCAGTCAGAAACCTCAAAGGCACATGCCATTTTTGCAGTGAGCTTCAATGCAAACGTACCAGCTCTGAGTGATCAGCAGCCAGATCATATTTGTAGGAATAGGGGAAAAGGAGCAGCTGGGAATATGAGTGGACAGTCAGGTAGGCCTTGATGATGGACTTGTTGGAGCGGATGAAGTTGGCCAAATTCTTGGACTCAATCTCAGATTCTATGCTGCTTCCACAGTAGGTTTCACTGCAAGGGTTGCTGGAAGCTCCGACGGCTGGGAAGTGAATGGCATACATCAATCATATTTCATGGAACAGGGAAATATGACATTATTTGTGAACGTCATGAAGGACCACTTCCCAAGATTGGTTGCTGGTTAAGCTAGTTAAGCAATGTGGACACTCAACTTCATTTCTAATATGCTGTTGATTTTAATAGCTTTAATAGGAAGCAAGTACTCACTGCACCATCCAGCATCAAAGTTTCTGTTGGGGTCGGTACCGATACAGCTGCTACCACTGTTCCTGGATCGGGTCTTTCTCCACATCCTGTCCTGTGGGATCAAAACAAGACCTTTCAGATCATTTTCTTTTTTTTTTCACTCTTGACCATATTCATATTCAATTCACAATGTCTCCTAAATTGATGCACACTATGAGTTTGGACATTAATTCGTCCCTCTGCATTTTAGAATTGATAGAAAGAGATAATATGAAATATTCCACTGAAGTAATAGAAGCTGGTGTATTTATAATTTATATTTGTCAACACAATTAAGAAATAAGTCATATTTTGAGAAGAGTCATCGGAATGGTGTAGATTGTCTCAAATGAAAACTGTACTCTATTCTCTAAAAAAGTGATTTAACTATGTACAATGCGGGTCGCTATGTTGAAATGATGTAACTCGTTACACTGTCGGAGGGACTCCTCGTGCTCATTGGCTGCCACCTCTGAATACGCTACGCATAGCAAAAAATACATAATGGAACACACTTATTATTGCATTTTGCCGCAGAGACAATCAGTACCTGTACAAACAACGAAGAAGAAAAATCTGAAGCCAAAAGAACGAAACACCAACAAAGACAAAAATGAAACAGCGGTACGACATTCACACAGGGGAAGATTTGATGAGGGAGAGTATAGCGTGAGTAGCAAATTGCTTTATTGTTGAGCATGTAATTTCATGTAATTGAATTATTTGTTCTGCAGACCGCTCTGTAATATTCACTAATATCAGTATAATTGATGTAAAACTGAAAGCACATTTAAGCATAAGTATTTAAATCAAAATATTTTTTGAAAGATGAGAAACACAAAAGCAACATAAATTCAGTTAAGTTTCTCAAAACTTTTCACTGTGTGTAGGCTATATAGCTAGAACATATATGAAAATACTGAACACGTTATGAACGTACATTGGTCCAGGTGTATTCATAGCCATCAATGTTGAAGACAGGCAAAACAAAGAAGTCCATTCTATCCAGAAGGTTGGTCATCTCAGGGTCACTGCCATAGGTGGACACAGCCTAACCATAAGTAAAACAAAGTTTAGATTTATAGATCTCTTGAATGAAAGACATCAGTTTAAAAATAAATATATATATATTTTTTTTTTTTCCTGTACCTCATTTATAAACCACTGACAGAAAGCATGGGTGATCCATTCTCTCGCATGAAAGCCACAGTCCATGAAGACAGCTGGCTTAGCAGAGCCTGTTTTCTTCCCAATCTGTGGAAAAGGAAAAATTGCATTGTTTTCATTGTCAAAACCAACCATATATATACATATATATGATAATATAATATTTAAACAATGTTATTGTACTGGTAGTCATGGCAGGTCATTTTGAAAACAAAAGGCCACTTAACTGTACTTGAAGGGAGAACATTTCTGTAAAATGCTCAAATGTTCGTCTTTTTCACAAGGGTATACAGAGTGTTGTTAAGTGACTAGCAGAGGCAGGGATTTACCGTCAGAAGGTGCATGGGACGTCCCTCATAAGTGTTACCGATCTCCTGCCTGCTGATCAGGTCAGCATTGGCAGAGCTGATGGAGACTACCCAATCATTAATCTGTAGGTGAGAATAAAGATAAATAAATAAAAATCTATATTTACAGGTTACTATGAGTGCAATGGCAATCATACCGTCGCCCAGTTGTTGTACTTTGTGTAGTCATGGGCCTTTGTCGCCCTCTCGTTGTCCATCTGAGCCTCAACAGCCTCCTGAAGATTTTCAAACATGACCCTGCAAAGACAATGATGGCCCATTTTAAAACGGTACAATAGCTAAAAAAATATCTAACATAGGTTACCAGTAACTTGGGGAGCCATGCATATACCGTGATATATCAAGATATTCATTTTGAATCGTAACCCAGCCAACATGTATATGTGGGCCCCACATGGTTTATACTTGGGCCACATGGGTACCAAGTGGGCATGGTCCCAAAATGGGCATCTTATCTGGGGCCCACTTAGGTCAGCTAAGTAGGTCTCACATGGGCAAAACCAGGTGGGCTTCCCATGTGGGGCCTAGTTGGGTCACTAATGGGAAATGAGGGCATGGGCTCAAAATGGGCAACACATATGGCCCCCATATGGGTTTCACATATGGATCAGACATGGGCAAACACAATCAGTCCTATATAGGCTGCCTGCATGGGCCCAAGGTAGAACCCACATGGGTAATCTCTATGTGGGTTCTGAATGGGGAAACACATATGGGG